TCTTGAATAGTAGTTCAAAGCCAGTCTGCACAGGAAACTTCAAGAGCCTCTAATCTCCAATAAACTACACAAAAAAAGCCAGAAGTAGAATTGTGGTTCAAGTGGTAGAACACTGGCCTTGAGCAAAAGAAGCTCACAGATAGTGTCTAGTCCTCAAGATCAAGCCCCAGGACCGGGGGGAGGGGGGGGGAGAGAAGGGAGGGGGCAGTAGAGCAGTAGAGCTGAGGCTCAAGTGGTAGCACACTAACCCTGAGTGGAAAAGCTAAGGGGCAGCACTCAGGCTCTGAGAATGAATACCAAGTAACTGACTGGCTGGGAAGGAGACGTTTCAAAGAGGAGGCAGAGGTCTGGGAGAAGCTTCCTGGTGTAGGATTGGCAATTCACAGGTTATGTTAGGTTCTCAGGCTAGGCAAGAGGACAAAGGTCAGGGGTCAGGAGTGGCATCTGTCTGTAAGACAAGGCCTGGGGGAACATGTGCCTAGTAAGATGTTCCTTTCTTTTGCTTTTGCTTTTATCTAATAAGCAGCATAGAAGTCCAGCACCAACTCACATCGACTCAAAGTGGATTAAAAACCTCTACATCAGGGCTGGGAAGGTGGCTCAGTGGTAGAGCACTTGCCTTGCATGCCTGAGGCCCTGGGTTCGATTCCTCAGCACCACATAAGCAAAAAAGAAAAAAGCCGGAGGTGGCGCTGTGGCTCAAGTGGTAGAGCACTAGCCTTGAGCTGAAGAGCTGAGGGACAGCACCCAGGCCCAGAGTTCAGGCACCACGACCGGACCAAAAAAACAAAAAAAACCTCTACATCAGACTGAAACACTGAAACTACTGCAAGACAGAGTAAGAGATACATTAGAACTTATTGGCACTTCCCGACTAGAGTGCCAGGGGCACAGCAGATAGGAGAGAGATTTGACAAATGGGATTACCTTTAAATAAAAAGTTTCGGCACAGCTAAGGACACCAACCCTCCCAAACCTCATAAACCAGTCACTAAATGGGCAATGGCGCTAAGGAGAGACTTCTCAGAAGAAGAGGTGAAAATGGCAATGAAACACAGGAGGAAATGCTCTTTATCCCTGGCCACAAAGGAAATGCAAATCAAAACAACCCTGAGATTCCATCTCACCCTAGTTAGACTGGCCAATTATTTGAACTCTGACAACAGATGCTGGTGGGTATGTGAGGAAAAAGGAGCCCCATTGCACTGCTGGTGGGAATGCAAACTAATACAACCACTCTGGAAGCAGTCTGGAGGTTCCTCAGAAAACGCAACATAAGCTGGGCACCGGTGGCTCACGCCTGTAATTCTAGCTACTCAGGAGGCTGAGATCAGAGGATTGTGGTTCAAAGCCAGCCCAGGCAGGAAAGTCTGAGACTCTTATCTCCAATAAACCACCAGGAAACCGGAAGTGGCGCTATGGCTCAAGTGGTAGAGTGTTCACCTTGAGCTGAAGAACTGAGGGACAGCGCCCAGGCCCAGAGTTCAAGCCCCAAGACCCACACAAAAAAAAAACAAAACAAAACCTAAACATAGACCTTCCTTAGTACCCAGTCATACCACTCCTGGTCATCTACCGTGAACACCATGAACCAGGATACAAGGACACCAGCACCACCATGTTCACTGCTGCAGTGTTCACAATGCCCCACAATTGATGGATAAAAAAAAAAATTGTGGTACCTATATACAATGGAATTTCACACCACCATTAGGAAAGATAAAATAATGTCATTCTCAGAGAGATAAACCACAGCGTATATTCTCCCTGAAATGCAGAAGTTAGATTTAAAATGCAACAGGACACGACAAATTATACTGGATTCTTCCTCTTTTTTTTTTTTTTGTCAGTCACGGGTCTTGAACTCTGGGCCAGAGTGTAGTCCCTGAGCTCTTTAGCTCAAGGCGAGCACTCTACCACTTGAGCCATAGTGCGACTTCCGGTTTTCTAGTGGTTAATTGGAGATAAGATTATCATGGACTTTCCTGTCCCGGCTAGCTTTGAACCATGATCCTCAGATCTCAGCTTCCTGAGTAGCTAGGATTACAGGTGTGAGACACCAGCACCCAGCTTATACCAGATTTTAGACACTCACCTACAGTAAGAACAAAAGAGGATAGTCTTAGGAGAAAATCACCAAGGTAATACCCAAGCCCCTCTTCATATGTATATAATATAATATACATACTGAAACAAACTCCAAAGATATGGAAACAAAGGACCTTTTTCTTAGTTTTTCCTTTTTCAGATGACTCTGTATTCTTTACCTCATGTAAGGTGTATACACATGCACATTTGAGGGAAGGTCAGGAGAGGGCACAGAATCAGTGGAAAGTGCGTGGAAAAGTGCACCAGTGGAGCCCACTGGCTGCACTGGACATTAATGAAATTGAACCATGCAACTGGTAGGCAGAGATGGAGGGAGGAATGGGAGAGGAAGAGGAACAGATGATACTATGCAAAAGGAAATGTACTTATTACCTAACATATGTAAAGGCAATCTTGCTGTATATCACCTCTAAAACAATAGAGCTGGGAATGTGGCTTAGCGGTAGAATGCTTGCTTAGCATGCATGAAGCCCTGGGTTCGATTCCTCAGCACCACATACACAGAAAAAGCCTGAAGTACGCTGTGGCTTAAGTAGTAAGTAGAGGGCTAACCTTGAGTAAAAAGACAGTGCCCAGGCCCTGAGTTCAAACCCCAGGACTGGCTAAATAAATAAAAAAATTCTTAAAAATAAAATAGAGGTGCTGGGAAAGTGGCTCAGTGGTAGAGTGCTTGCCTTACATGCATGAGGCCCTGGGTTTGATTCCTCAGCACCACATAAGCAGAAAAAGCCAGAAGAGGTGCTGTGGTTCAAGTAGTAGAGCGCTCACCTTGAGCTGAAGAGCTGAGGGACAGCGCTCAGGCCCAGAGTTCAGGCCCACGACCGACCAAAAAATTAAAAAAAATAGAAACAACAACAACTTTAAAAAATAAAATAAGAACTCAGGAACCAGCTTCAGCAAAAGAGGCTCTTCGGGAAAGGATGGAGTGGAAAGAAAGAAAGCTCACTAGCTGTAGGAGCAGGGACTTGACCTGGAGATCTGTGCTGAATGCACAGTTGCTGGGTGGTGGATTTTCTGTTGTGTGAGAAGGTTAGGCATTTCATGTGGATTTTTTTTTTCCAGCAATCATGGGGCTTGAACTCTGGGCCTGAGCACTGTCCCTGAGCTCTTCAGTTCCAGGTGAGTACTCTACCACTTGAACCACAGCACCACTTCTGGTTTTCTGGTGGTTCAGTGTCTCACAGATGTTCCTTCCCAGGCTGGCTTTAAACCATAATCCTCAGGTCTCAGCCTCCTGAGTAGCTAGGATTACAGGTGTGACACACCGGCATCTGTCCTGGATTTTTTTTTTTTTTTTTTGTCGGTTATGGAACCTGAACTCTTGGCCTGGGCACTGTCCCTGAGGTCTTTAGCTCAAGGCCAACACTCTACCACTTGAGCCACAGCGCCACTTCCAGCTTTTTCTGCTTATGTGGTGTTGAGGAATTGAACTCAGGGCCTCATGCATGCAAGGCAAGCACTCTACCACTGAGCCATCTTCCCAGCCCCTGGATTATTTTTTTTTTACAGTACTAGAATATCTCCTTGAGCATTCTAGACAGACCCATGACCTCAGTCTTTTCTCTCTTTTTTTTCCTTAAAGATTTTTTGTTTTGTTTATTTGCTTATTTGCTTTCATGTTGGTCCTGGGGCTTAAGCTCAGCGTCTAGAGCTTGTGCTCAAGGCTAGTGCTCTTCCATTTGAGCCATGATTCCATTTCCAGGTTAATTGCAGTCAAGAGACTCATGGACATTCTTGCCTTGGCTGGTTTTGTATGTGTGCCTTGCACGTGTGTGTATGTGTGTGTGTGTTTGTACACTGATCCTGGGACTTGAATTTAGGGCCTGGATACTGTCCCTGAGCTTTTGTAGTCAAGGCTAGTTAGTGCTCTACCACTGTGAGTCATTTCCAACTTTTTTGGTAGTTAAGTGGAGATAAAAAGTCATACTGAGTGACACTGGCACTAACCTTGAGTGAAAAAGCTCAGTGATTGCGCACAAGCCCTGAGTTCAAGCCCCACGACTAAGCAAAAAAAAACAACAACAACAACTCAAAACTAGCAATTTTGGACTGGGTGCCGAGTGGTTCATGCCTTCAATCCTAGCTACTAAGAAGGCAGAGATATGAAGATTGAAGTTTGAGGCTAACGGGGCAGGAAAGTCCATGAGATTCTTATCTCCTGACAGATTCTTACCACCAGACAGAAAACTGGAAGTAGCGCTGTGGCTCAAAGTGGTAGAGCGCTTGCCTTGAGCTGAAGAGCTCAGGGCCAACACCCAGGCCCTGAGTTCAAGCCCCGTGACACATGGACCAACAAAGAAAAGGGGGGGGGGGGGAGGCAAAATCCAGCAAGTTGGAGATACACACACACACACACACACACACACACACACACACACACACACGAGTTAACTCCTGTTCTCTGGGACAGACTGGCGGACAGGTTGGGCTGGGAACTCCCACTGGCAGCCCACCTTTCCCTCCACCAGTACTCCACTTAAAAGGAGACCTTAAAGGTCTGGCCTCCTGGGTTCCAGGACTCTCATTTCCTGTGCTTCAAGCTTTCTCACTCAACGTTGAGATCCCTCAGCACACTCCCCCACCAACTGGTTGATTAAAAGCGGGTCCGGCCCCCGCCAGCACCAATCAGAGCAGGGATGCAGCTGACCAATCAGATCGGCGCATTCGCATTCCGCCCCTTTCCTGGTTTGCTTCTTAAAGGGGCTAAGGTACCTAGGCCTACGCCTGCGTCCTCCGCCGACGGGGACTCCGTAGCCCCTTTAAATGGCGGGACCAGAGAGGAGCGGGTCCTGGAAAGAACCAATGAGAAGCCCCATGCTGCCTCCGTCCCGCCCCCCTCCGGCTGTGTCCCAAGCTTGAGCCGTTCTCCGCCGCGCCTGAGGCACCAGGTAGGAGAGCGCGGTGGGGCCCGGCGCCGGCTGGGAGCCCCGGGATCCCGACGCCCCGCTTCTTTAGGTCGCCGGCGGTTGTGTCGCCCGCTGACGGCATGGCCCTGAGCAGGATCTCCGTGCGGCTGCTGAGCCGCCGGCCCGGCCTCCGCGTCCTGCGCGCGTGGGGCTCGGCGCCGGCGCCCACCGGTCAGTGCGGGACCTTGGTTGCGGTGGAGTGGGGAGCCGCTGGGGGTCGGGCACTTTCCAGGGGTGACTTCCTGTGTGCGTTTGCAGAGAAGGGCGGGAAGAGCCAGAGCCAAGCGGCCAAATGTAAGGATCCCCGCCGGACCCCGTGCGGGACGGGGGAGGCCATGCGGGACGGGGGAGGCCGTGCGGGACGGGGGAGGCCATGCGGGACGGGGGAGGCCGTGCGGGACGGGGGAGGCCATTCGGGACGGGGGAGGCCGGGCGGGACGGGGGAGGCCATGCGGGACGGGGGAGGCCGTGCGGGACGGGGGAGGCCGTGCGGGACGGGGGAGGCCGTGCGGGACGGGGGAGGCCGGGCGGGACGGGGGAGGCCGGGCGGGACGGGGGAGGCCGGGCGGCGGGACCGGGTGGGGAGGCCGGGCGGGACGGGGGAGGCTGGGCGGGGGAGGCCGGGCGGGGGACCAGGCGGGACGGGGGAGGCCGGGCGGGACGGGGGAGGCCGGGCGGCGGGGCCGGGCGGGACGGGGGAGGCCGTGCGGGACGGGGGAGGCCGTGCGGGACGGGGGAGGCCGGGCGGCGGGGCCGGGCGGGACGGGGGAGGCCGTGCGGGACGGGGGAGGCCGTGCGGGACGGGGGAGGCCATGCGGGACGGGGGAGGCCGTGCGGGACGGGGGAGGCCATTCGGGACGGGGGAGGCCGTGCGGGACGGGGGAGGCCGGGCGGGACGGGGGAGGCCGGGCGGCGGGACCGGGTGGGGAGGCCGGGCGGGACGGGGGAGGCCTGGCGGGGGAGGCCGGGCGGGGGACCAGGCGGGACGGGGGAGGCCGGGCGGGACGGGGGAGGCCGGGCGGCGGGGCCGGGCGGCGGGACCGGATGGGGAGGCCGGGCGGGGGCGGGGCCTGGCAGGTACGGGGGCGGGGCCTGGCAGGTACGGGGGCGGGGCCGGGCGGGGGCGGGGCCTGGCAGGGGCGGGGGGCGGGACCGGGCGGGGAGGCCGGGCGGGGGCGGGGGCCTGGCAGGGACGGGGGCGGGGCCTGGCAGGGGCGGGGCCGGGAGGGGCGTGGCCTGGCAGGGGCGGGGCCTGGCAGGGGCGGGGCGGGGCCGGGCGGGGGGGGGGGTCTGTCCCCGCGGGGCCTGAGGGGGGTCGTCTTTCCCATCTGTTCTCGACCTGCGCGTTCGCTTATGGAGCGAGATGGGGGCGGGGAGCTCCGGTCGGGGAGAGGGCGCGGCGGTGCGCGGGCCGGCTGGGGCTGAGCGAGTCCTCGGTCCCCGGCCCAGCTTCTGGCCCCCAGTTCGACTGGCGGGATCCGCTGGTGCTGGAGGAGCAGCTGACAGCAGATGAGATCCTCATCCGGGACACCTTCCGCAACTACTGCCAGGAGCAACTCATGCCTCGAATCCTGCTGGCCAACCGCAATGAAGGTGCCCAGGCCCGGAGGGCGGCGCCCTGGGGCCGCGCCCCTCTGCCATTGCCCGACAGCTGCCTCCGCTCTAGCCTTGGGGTCCCGCTGTTCCTGGGCCTTGGGCTTCCCGGGCCCAGGGCTGAGCTCTGGCATCTCTCTCTGTCCCTTGGCAGTTTTTCATCGAGAGATTGTCTCTGAGATGGGGGAGCTGGGCGTGCTGGGACCCACCATCAAAGGTAGGGACGCGTTTCTCTCCGCTCTCTGCAGACTGTACTGTGTGGGGAAAGGCCCCTTCCATTCCGAGTCCCCTGGAATTTTCTTGTTTGGTGGGAGTGGGGCCTGAACCCAGGAGCATGCCGGGTAAATGCTCTTCCAGAGGAGCCACGCCCCTTTGCTTTCCAATCTGTAAACCGGTGCCTTTGGGAATGAGCTCCAGAAACCTCCCAGCAGCCAGGGCCAGTTCCATGCCTGTCTCCTTAAGTGCCCCTCCCTGGAAGATCTGGGTCCCAGCTGGGTTGGACTTTGACCCTGTGTTGCCCTACCTGCCTTTCCCCTACTATTCTTAGGCTATGGCTGTGCTGGGGTCTCATCGGTAGCCTATGGGCTCCTGACCCGAGAGCTAGAGCGGGTGGACAGCGGCTACAGGTCCATGATGAGTGTCCAGTCCTCCCTCGTCATGCACCCCATCTACGTCTATGGCAGTGAGGAGCAGCGACAAAAGTACCTGCCCCGGCTGGGTGAGCCTCTGGCCTCTGCTTGTGGGGTACACACACACACACACACACACACACACTTACTATTGTCATGAGGTTATCCCCTGAGCCTACCTTCTTTCCCTATTTCCCCAGTGGCCACCTGGGCCCCTGCCATGCTCTAAGGTCCAGTTGGACCAGCTTTGGCCTGCCTCTTCTTCCTCCTCCCCTCTCCCAACCATCATCTCCCACCTGATTTGCTCTGAGCTCTGTGCTTCACATCCCAGTCCAAAGTTTAAAGTCTTAACTTCCTAATGGGATCCAGGAGGCCCCACGTGACTAGGTCACTGCTGACCTTTCTGTGACATCCCTGATCACTCTTTTGGCAGGACTGGAGTTTGAACTCAGGACATTGTGTTTGCGAGACAGGTGCTTTACCCTTTGAGTCAGGCCTCCAGTGCTTCCTCAAACCTTCCTCCTGCTAACTTTTTTGCACAAGACACAACTACCAACTCCTTCCTGACTTCCTGGGCCCCTTTCCTGGGGGCCTGAGGACCTGTCCTCCATCTCCTAAGTAATCTGAAGGCAGGGTCTGGCTCAGTAGAGAAGCGATCTGTTTTAGGGGGATGAATAGGGGCCTGGCAGCCTCATGACCCTCTCTTTTGCCTGCAGCCAAGGGGGAGATTCTAGGCTGCTTTGGTCTCACAGAACCCAACCATGGGAGTGACCCCGGTGGCATGGAGACCAGAGCTCGCCATAACCCATCGAGCAAAAGCTATACTCTCAATGGGACAAAGACATGGTGAGGGGCCTGGGCTAGGGGTGGTCGGGAGCGAAGGACAGCAGCCAGACTCCTCACTGACCTTCCTGCCCCCAGGATCACCAATGCACCTGTGGCTGACCTGTCCATAGTATGGGCTCGTTGTGATGATGACCGCATCCGGGGCTTTCTGCTGGAGAAGGGCATGCGTGGTCTGGCAGCCCCCAAGATCGAGGGCAAGTTCTCCCTGCGGGCCTCGGCCACTGGGATGATCATCATGGATGGCGTGGAGGTGCCCGAGGAAAACGTGCTGCCCAATGTGTCCGGCCTGGCAGTGAGTGGCCTGCACTGTGGGCTCTGGTGTTGGGTCACCTGCTGGTTCACTTTCCTTAGGCAGGGACCACATGGATGAGACCCCTGAGCTTCTGGCCCAGCACATAGTAGGGCTGCCAAAGCTCAGCTCAACCTCTTGAACCTAAGTACCAGGCCCAGGGTCTGGGCTGGATAGAACCATGTGCAAAGCCAGTGGCAGTGGCTCACACGTATAAAACCTAACTACTCAGGAGGCTGAGATCTGAGGACCACAGTTCGAAGCTAGCCCAGGCAGGAAAGTTCATGAGACATTTATCTCAATGAACCACCAAAAAGCCAAAAGCAAAGCTGTGGCTCAAGTGGTAGAGTACTAGCCTTGAGCAAATGAGCTAAGGGATAGAACCCAGGCTCTGAGTTCAAGCCCCAGCACACACACACACACACACACACACACACACACACAAACTGTCTTTCCAAAGCCAGCAGGCGGGTGGGGTCCACCAACCTGAGGTTCTGCAGCTAGGCTGTGTGTGATTTAAGTGGCCAGGCCCCCTTGTCTGAGGTGTGTGGGAGGAGGTGTCTCCTGCATCGGAGTTCTGCAGTGCCTTACCCTGTCTCCTATCCACCCTGCAGGGACCGTTTGGCTGCCTCAACAATGCTCGGTTTGGTATCACATGGGGTGTGCTGGGAGCTGCAGAGTTCTGTCTGCACACTGCCCGCCGGTACACCCTAGATAGGTGTGTGGGGGCTTCTGCGGGTGCTTCTGGGGGTAGGGTTCTGGGGTACCCTACCTGTATCCCAATGATTCTCCAGTTCCCATCACCCGACGTAAGCGCCCTGGTCCGTGAAGTGGTCCTGAGCGCTGAGGGCTGGGTGAGCCATGGGCTGGTGTGAACTGAGGGGCAGCCTGGGAACAGAGGAGAGGGCCGCCTTCCAGACTTCACCCGCCCTCGCCCATCCAGGATGCAGTTTGGCGTCCCCTTGGCCAGGAACCAGCTGGTGCAGAAGAAGCTGGCGGACATGCTCACTGAGATCACGCTGGGCCTCCATGCCTGCCTGCAGCTTGGCCGCTTGAAAGACCAAAACAAGTAGGGGCCACGTGGGGGAGGGGCTGTCAGGAGTGCCCCCTGGCCCTCCTTGGAGCTCCTTCCCAGCTGCTGGCCCACCTGGGGACCCACGCTTCTCCTACTTAATGGGCCCTCATTGGGAACCCCTCTCTCACTGGGTCTGCTCAAGCAGTGTTTGTTACATATATGTTACCTCCAGGGCCACCCCGGAAATGATCTCCCTGCTCAAGAGGAATAACTGTGGGAAGGCCCTGGACATCGCCCGCCAGGCCCGAGACATACTGGGGGGGAATGGGATTTGTGATGAGTATCACGTGATCCGACACGCCATGAACCTGGAGGCTGTGAACACCTATGAAGGTAGGGGCCACAACCTGGGCTGGGGGTGGGAAGAGGACAGCAGGTAGGGCTGGGGACATGTAGAGAGCTACTTCTGTGGTCACCTAGTGAGGGTGTGACCTAGGGCAAGTCACTCACAGGGCCTGTAGGAGTGAAGGGTTCCAATGAGATTCACATGGTGCCCCCAGCCAGAAGGCTGCGCCTCCCTGAGACTGAGGGACTGCTGCTGTGGACCAGCATGAGAGTCACCATTCCAGTTCATGTGCAGAGAAGGGAAAACACTTGCAGACTGTGGCATTTACACCTCGCAGCTGATGCTGATTCACACCGAGGTCCTAACTGGCTTGGGGGAAGACAGATGTGGAAAAAGATCCTTAGAAAGGAAAGAAAGTCCTGGTACCAGTGGCATCATGCCTGTAATCCTAGCTACTCAGGAGGATGAGATCTAAGGATCGTGGTTCAAAGCCAACCTTGGCAGGAAAGTCTGTGAGACTCTTATGTCCAATTAACCACCAGAAAACTGGAAGTGGTGCTGTGGCTCAAGTAGTAAGAGCGCTCACCTTGAGCTGAAGAGCTCTTAGGCCCATAGTTCAAGCCCCACAACTGTCTAAAAAAAGAAAGAAAAGGCCAGGTGAGCTGGGAAAGTGGCTCAGTGGTAGAGTGCTTGCCTTGCATGCATGAGGCCCTGGGTTTGATTCCTCAGCACCATATAAGCAGAAAAAGCCAGAAGTGGTGCTGTGGCTCAGTGGTAGAGGGCCAGCCTTGAGCTGAAGAGCCGAGGGACAGCACTCAGGCCCAGAGTTCAAGCCCCACAACCAACCAGAAAGAAAGAAAAGGCCAGGTATGGTTACAAACATGCCTGTAATTTCTATTACTTGGGAGGCAGTGGTAGAAGAATCAAGATCCAAGCAAAAGCACTAAATTCTATCTGAAAAATAAAAATATAAAGGATGGAGGCGTGGCTCAAGTGAAAGAACACTAGTGGCGAGCATGCCAGAGGCCTTAAATTCAATCTCCAGTGAGGGAAGAGGGGTTGGAAAGAAAACGTCAATCTGGTGTGAGCCATGCAGATAGAGGGAGATAGTAGCTCCGCTGACAGAGAGGCTTCTAGACAGACCAAGCACAGACGGGATGTCTTTCTATGAAGCTCAATGACAAGGGCCCCACAGCCCTATCTTGTTTCTGTTAGGCCACTAGGTGGAGCATGCCAGAGATACTGAGAGGGGTGTGTGGGAGAATGGTCTGCAGTGAGGATGGCCAGAGGTCTGGGCAGAGGAGGGCTTGGGAAGTAGAGGGAGCTGGGTGACTAAGGGGAGACCTATTTCCCGGAAGTAGGGGAGACAGGTGGAAACACTAGGGTGGCTCTGGGATAGATTGCTTCAGGATGGGGAGTCAGCAATCATGGTGTGTGGACTGTTTGCTCTCCTAGCCCTCAGGTAGTTTAAAAAACAAACAAAAAAGCCATCATGAGGGCAGGGGGCATGGCTCGGGTGATGGGGAGCTTGGGTCCAGGGTGCCAAGGGGAAAAAGCAAAGGTGCCACAGCGTCTGCAGGTGTGTGATCTCACATCTCTGTGGAAGGAGGGTCCCAGGGTTGGGAAGCAAACGTTTAATCATCTACAGGTGTGGCCAGGTGAGCTAGGGTCGCTGTAGCAGGACCGAGGGCAGGGGGAGGACAGTTGCAATCTGGGGTATAGTGCAAACAACGTGAGTGTTTGAGTTTTCCAAGTTGTGTTACAGAACTGTAAAAAGCATCTTCTCACTGGGCTCTGGTGGCTCATGCCTGTCATCCTAGCTACTCAGAAGGCTGAGATGTGAGGATCATGGTTCAAAGCCAACCTGGGCTGGAAAGTCTGAGACTCTTATCTCCGGTGAACCACCAGAAAACTGGAAGTGGTGCTGTGGCTCAAGTGGTAGAGCACTCACCTTGAGCTGAAGAGCTGAGGGACAGCGCCCAGACCCGGAGTTCAAGCCCCGAGACCAACCAAAAAAAAAAAAAAATCCTAGCATGGCCTGAATGGTGATCTACCAGGTTCCTCCTGGCAGCCCTCACTAAGATGTGACTTTCCCTCAGCCCTCAGTAGAGGCCATCTTTGTTGGTCTGTTCTTCTAAAGTGACAGCCTAAGGAACAAGAAGACTAACTTTATTTAGTTCTTTATTTATTTGGTGTGGTACTCAAGATAGAACTGAGGGCCTCCCTCTATGAGGCACGTGCTCTACCACTTGAGCCACACATAGTCCTACACAGCCCTTGAAGGCTGACTTAGGCAGTTATGAACTGTGAAGACTCCAAACCAGGCTCACACCTGTAATCCTAGACAGGAGGCTGAGATCTGAGGATCGAGGCTCACAACTAGCCCAGGCAGGAATGTCGAAGAGATTGCATCTAATTAACCAGCAAAAACCTGCAAGTAGAGCTGGGGCTCAAATGGAAAAGCACCAGCAGTGAGGGAAAAAGCCAAGTGAGAGCTCTGCACGGCACGGACTCTCACCTGCTTCCTAATCTCATGCAGGTACACACGATATCCACGCGCTCATCCTCGGCAGAGCAATCACGGGAATTCAGGCATTCACGGTTGGCAAGTAAATTCACTTCAGAGTGCCTGGATGTTCCAAAGCCCCTTCCTGAAGAGACCCTGGCGGGAGCCTGGGCCCCCTGTGCTCTAAGTTTAATTAGGAATATGGCAGATAGACCTGATTGTATGGTGAGAAGGGAGAGAACGATATATATATATATATATATATATATATATCCCTCCCCTGGTCATGGGGCTTGAACTCTGGGCCTGGGTGCTGTCCCTCAGCTCTTCAGCTCAGAGTGAGTGCTCTACCACCACTTCCAGTTTTCTGGTGTTTTATTAAAGAGTCTCATGGACTTTCCTGCCCAGGCTGGCTTTGAACCACAATCCTCAGAGCTCAGCCTCCAGAATAGTTAGGATGACATGGTGAGCCACCAGTGCCTGGCTCACTATTTTTAAATATGGAAATTAACAATGGAAAGGCATTCGTCTATGCCCCTTCAAAAGAAGACAAGATTCTGTTTCTGGATCCATTTGTAAGGCGATGAGCTGACTTCACCCTCCAGCTTCTTGGCTGGGGAGCAGGGAGAGGGGAAGTACACTGGAGGTACTCCTGGGAGACCTGGCCCCAGCAGGCCCCTAGGTGGCACCACCCACCACCTTCCCTCCCCAGCCAGGCCTTGTTCATGCTGGTTTCTGGGGCAGGACGAAAGAAAGAAAAATAAAGAGCTTGTGCATCTGACCACAAGATGTGGACACATTTACTTGTCACTACTGGGCAGCAGTTTCACGGGGTTCCACAGGACAGACAAACACGCTGGGGGCGATGGCCCCTGTCTGGCGTCTTCTGCCCTGCAGGGATGGGCGTAGCTGGGTGAAACATTGCCCAGGCCTCAGGGCTGCGGGCAGCGGGAGCAGTCTCTTCTGACTGATACGATGGATGCTGTGCTTCTGTCACCGCTCAGCTGACCACAGACGAGGAGAAATGACAACTGTTTTGCTTTTTGGCTCAACATACCATCTATGCTGGGATCCCCAAACCAGATGGCAGGGGCAGCAAGGGCTTTGCAGGGGCTGTGGCCCCTAGGGTTGGGTCTGGTGGTGAGCTCACTAGTGCTTCTCAGTGACACGGTGACAGGGCGTAAGCTTAGTATGCGTGAGACCCTGGGTTCCATCCCCAACACTGCCAAACAAACAAAAACCCGGAGGAAGAGATAGTGAAGATGTCAGTTTGTGGTCAGCCCTGGTAAAATGTTCAAAAGATACTGTAACAAAGAATAAGCCTAAGCACTGGCAGCTCACACCTGTCATCCTAGCTACTCAGGCTGCTGAAATCTGAGGATCATGGTTTGAAGCCAGCCTAGGCAGGAAAAGTGTTGAAACTCTTGTGTCCAATTAATCCCAAGAAACCAGAAGTGGAGCTGTGGCTCAAGTGGTAGAGCACTAGCCTTGACCAGAAAGGCTCAGGGATAGCTCCTGAATCCTAAATTCAAGTCCCATGACTAACAAAAAGTAACAAAAATAAATAAATAAGGTAGAGCTGGTCTTGAAGGCACACACCTGTCATCCCAGCTATGTGGAAAGTATAAACAGGAGGATTACAACCCACACCCTATTCAATAAATAAAAATGGGGGGCTGGGAAGGTGGCTCAGTGGTAGAGCGCTTGCCTTGCATGCCTGAGGCCCTGGATTCGATTCCTCAGCACCATATAAGCAAAAAGAAAAAAGCCAGAAGTGGCATTGTGGCTCAAGTGGTAGAGCGCTAGCCTTGAGCTGAGGAGCTGAGGGACAGTGCCCAGGCCCAGAGTTCAGGCCCCACGACCGGACCCAAAAAATAAATAAATAAGAATGGCTAGGAGCCGGGCGCTGGTGGTTCACGCCTGTAATCCTAGCTACTCAGGAGGCTGAGATCTGAGGATGGCGGTTCAAAGCCAGCCCAGGCAGGAGAGACCGGGAGACTCCTATCTCCAATAAACCACCAGAAAACCGGAAGTGGCGCTATAGCTCAAGTGGTAGAGTGCTCACCTTGAGCTGAAGAACTGAAGGACAGCGCCCAGGCCCAGAGTTCAAGCCCCACAGCCGACCAAAAAAAAAAAAAAAGAATGGCTAGGAGAATGGCTAAAGTAGTAGAGCATCTGCCTAGCACATGTGAGGCCTTAAGTTCAAACCTCAGTGCTATAATCCTAACTACTCAGGAGGCTGAGATCTGAGGATTGCAGTTTAAAACCAGCCTGGGCAGAAAGTCCATGAGACTCTTATCACCAGTTAACCACCAAAAAGCTGGAAGTGGAGCTGTGGCTTAAAGGATAGAGTACCAGCTGTGTGCAAGAAACACCAGTCCCCGAGTTCAACCTTCAAGACTGGCACATACACACAAAAAAAAAGTCCTTGGTTTCTGTTTATATTTACTCTCAGTAAACCATCCCAAGTCCCCTGCCTCAGACACCCAGGCCACACCCCATGAGAAAGTGGCTCTTACCTCAGGCTGGACACACAGGTCATTGTACATGGTCTCCACCGTGTGGCAGACTTCTCTGAGTTCTGTCTCCAATTGGCTAATCTTTTCAATTTTCTGGGTAAATTCTTGGAGCCGTTCCTGAATGATCTTGCTGTGTTGGTTGTAAGCCTGGTACATCCTCTCCTCTAACTTCTCTGTCAGATCCGAGACCTTTCAAAGAATGAGTGATCTTAGAAGGTCAAAAACCTCTTTTTGATCACCAGATTTGTTCTAAGTGGATTTCTTTTCTGTATGTTATTAAAATGGTACAAAGAACTCCATTGACTGACAGTAAAATTGCCTACATTTCAATTATTTTTGCTTTTGGTTGTGCTGAGGTGTGAACTCAGGATCTCTCGATTTCTTGTTTGCTCTGCTGGCCCGCTACTACCTGAACCATACCTCCAGCCCAACATTCTGCTGGTTTATTGAAATGGAGTCTCATGTACTTTTTTGGCTAGGCTGGCTTCAAACCACAAACCTCTAGATCTCAGCCTCCTGAGTAGCTGGGATTTCAGTTATGAGCTACTGGTGCCTGGCTTCTTTCCCTTTAAGGAATACCTCCCCTCCCACTCGGTGGAGTCCTTCACCTTAATCTTGAGGCTGTCTCGGAAGTTGGCCATGAGTGCGAGGTCCTTCTGCCTGCTCTCGTTGATGTTTTCAATAAGCTCCTGGGCTCTCTTCTTCAGGATTTCAATGCTGGATTCCAGAGAGGAGAAGTAGGGTCCTGACTTCCCCTCCAGCACCCCCTGGCGGTTGGTACTGGAATTGGAGATACAAGGGTAGGAACCTGACTTCTAAAAGGGCATGGCTTAGAGGTCCGCACTTGATGCTCTGAGACCCCTTCTTGGTCAGTGTGTAATTGAAATGCAGAAGGTCCTGGGTTGCATTCCCTGGAACTTCCCCGGCCCCCCCCCTCCGCCCCACCTGCTGCCAAAAAAAATGGCGATCTGCCTGCCAGGCACCATTGGCTCACGCCTGTAATCTTAGCTACTCAGGAGACTGAGATCTGAGGATCAAGGTTCAAAGCCAGCCCGGGCAGGAAAGTCTATGAGACTCTTATCTCCAATAAACCAGCAGAAAACTGGAAGTGGAGCTGTAACTGAAAGTGCTAGAGTGCTAGCCTTGAGCCAAAAAAGCTCAGGGCTGGGGCTGGGAATGTGGCTCAGTGGTAGAGTGCTTGCCTTGCATGCATGAGGCCCTGGGTTCGATTCCTCAGTACCACATAACCAGAAAAAGCTGGGAGTGGCACTGTGGCTCAGGTGGTAGAGCACTAGCTTTGAGCTGAAGAGCTGAGGCACAGCACCTAGGCCCAGATATCAGGCCCACGACCAGCAAAAAAAATAAAACCCAGAAACAAAAAAGCTCAGGGACAGTGCCCAGGCCCTGACTTCAAGCCCCAGGACACACTCACATAAACAAGATCTGTCAGATACCCGAGTCCACTGTTGTTTTATATCAACTTGCGTCTTTGAAATAAGCATAAATAATGCAGACTGACCAACCAAAATATCTCTGTCATACAAACACAAACACCTCCACTCAACCAGAGGTCTCCCTCACGCAGCCACCTCCTCTCATCCCTATGACAGCCAAGATTGTAGAAAGAGAAATCTACATATCCTAAGACTATTCTACCTCTGATTGTATCTCAGCATGTGGGTAAGAAAGCTTTCAAATAAAACAGTTCCTGCACCTGGACATTGGTGGCTCACGCCTGTCATCCTGGCTACTCAGGAGGCTGAGAACTGAGGATCACAGTTCAAAGCCAACCTGGGCAGGAAAGTACGTGAGACTCTTATCTCCAATAAACCATCAGAAAACCAGAAGTTACGCTGTGGCTCAAGTGGTAGAGCGCTCACCTTGAGCTGAAGAGCTGAGGGACAGCGCCCAGGCCCAGAGTTCAAGACCCACAACCAACAACAACAAAGCTATGTGGCACACTGTAGCTCATCAGCAACACTGTTAACCACCCTCCCCTGCCAGTCCCAACACCTGACCTCAGGGCTTGCTCAGGCCTCTGCTGTCTTCCTTTTACGTCCAGGGTCCTGATCCTGGACACTCTGACACCCTTGCTGTTCATCAAGGCTCTGCCCAACTCCCACCTCTTCCCTCCATACCCCCCAGCTTCATTCCTCTGCCTCTCCTTTCTCCAAAGGATCTTTATAGTATAGGGTGATATGTATCTCTATAGATTTACATGTACATCTGTTCATATCTTCGTGTGTTTGCCCAACCTGGGCTTGAACTCTGGGCCTGGGCACTGTTCCTGAGCTTTTGTGTTCAAGGCTAGCACTCGACTACTTTGAGCCACACCTCCATTTTTCTTTTTTTTGGATCTGAAAAAAAAAAAAAAAGGAATGCTTCAGAATTTGTGTCATCCTTCATGCACAGTCCTAATCTTCTCTGGATAGCTCCAGTTTTAGTGAGTACCCAGCTTTTTTTTTTGGTAGTTAACTGGAGCTGTTAAACTGGAGATGTTTGAAGCATGATCCTCCGAGCTCAGGCTCCTGAGTAGCTAGGATTATAGGCATAACTAACTCTGGCTATATATCTATTTTAAGGGGGCTAGGGATGGAACCCAGGTTCAGCAAATACAAGTGCTGTACCATTTAGCCATACTAACAGCCCCCCTTTTTGTAAAGATAGATTCTCAAGCTGGTCTTGAACTTGCTATATAACCCATGCTGGCCTCAAACTTGAGATTCTC